TCTCACCAATAATTGAGAAAGAACAAAGAGGCACAATCCTGGGAGCAGGACCTAATGGCAGTGAAGACACCTATTGACCCAGATAACTAGAATTCACTCATGAGGAGCAGCAGGCAAACTTACTTTCCCTAATTTCTAGGCATACAAAATTGTGGGATTAAAATTTGAGAGCAGTGCAAAATTCATTTTTCACCTAAGAAAGGCTGAAAAGAGGGCTTAAAAAGAAGAAATCCAATGGAGAGGGGGAAAGGGTACTGAGAACAGTGACTGCACACTGGAAAATATGAGGAGACTACAAAAACAAAGCTTTGCCAACATAATTTCTTTCTGGGGGGGAGATCCCACTGTACTACTGAAGAGCACAAATTCCCTGTGGCTAACAAATGTGGTTTCTAAAACTGAAACACACTGGAAAAAATATGGCTCAGTGAAGTCACATGAAGCAATGTATTTATGAACTCAGATTAAAGATCCCCCAAAAGAACTTGCACAATTTGCAAAACAAGATATTCATCTCAGTACCATACTTAGCACTCTAAAAATGTATTTTAAAGTGTTTAATATAACTACTGATTTATTTCCTCCACACAATTCCTCATTAATGATACTTGAGGGCATTCAAATGTGAGAATGTGAAAGACTTACCTGCTTTATTATTATAGCTATGGTACCAAAAAGGACCAGAAAACCTTCCCTTTTCACTTGTGCCTAATATTTCTTCATCCTTTTCTCTATTAGGCCTGAAAAGCAAGTGGGGGGAAAAATTCAGCAGAGTTAAGTATCTCTGACTGGCATGTTCAGAAAATATTTCAGAAAAGCTTAAAAGCATTTACGTGCATTTTTAAACAGAGATCTTCGGTTCAAATAAAAAAAGGACTAATATAAGAATATCTTAAAGATAAAGTTTTAATGTGTTGGAATGAGTTTAGATAGACTAAGGATGTGAACCATGATGCTGTGGTGTGAGTGCTAGAGAAATCTCAAGAAAAACATCAATAGAAACTACCATGACCACTTCTGTCACTGCAGTGATGTGGAGCCTGACTCATCACATCATCTCACAGTTCTGTTTCCTTAGCAAAGCTCCAATTTTGCTCCTATTCGAGTCAGCTGCAGTTTTGCTGTTGACTTTGATGGGCCAAATTCAGAGCTGCTTACTCCAGCAACATTTCTGGTGTCAATGATTGTGCCAAGTTTCATTACTTACCAAGTATTACCAGTGCCTTCGTTTCTAAAGTTACAGTTCAGTCCAGTGTCCTATGCACTGCCGGTAGCGTTGTCTCACAGTAGAGCTAACTTTTCTAAGTGAGCCAGGAACAGAAAGCCAGACCCCTCATGTAGCTGCCAACTTGCTCACAGGGATATTTAGAGACTAGATCTTATCCTGAATAAAACTTGACAAATGGATGTTTTTAGGTTTGGTGGCTAACAATAATAATACCAGTAAATAGTTCAGGTTGCACAGAGACAGCTACGGTTTGTAACTGGGTCAAAAAGAAAGTAAAAAAAAAAAAATGATTTTGCATCAACCTGATACACAATGTTCGGTTTCATTCTTGAACCATTTAGCCTCTCACCCCCTCTTTATTTTTTTAAATTCAGAACTCTTTTAAAATGAAAAACGATGTTTCAAAATGAAAAGCAAAAACGTTTCATTTAAGAAGCGTGTAAAAGAAACATTTTGACATTTCTAACTGAAACATTTTGTTTCAGAACTTTCAAGATAAAATGTTCTGACACTTTTGGGGGGGTCCCACTTCTTTTGATCAAAACTGTTCCTCTACCTCTATACAACCTAGGTTTTTGTATAGTTTTGGTCCCCTCGAAACTCCATTTTTCAGTTAAATTACAATTCATAAAAAAATTACCCAGCACTAGTGAAATCAGTGAAGAGAATACAGTTTTGGTATGATTTCCTCTCAGTATGTCTTCAACAAGTAAAGTAGGGGCCTGGGGTTCTGCATCACCTCTTTTTCTACCCTACATACAATGAATCCTAAGGTCTGGGGGTGACATACCTCTAGTTCAGTGTGGGCCTTCCAAATGAGGAGAGTTATAGACAACCTTGGGATTGTTATTACTTAATTTTCTGACAAGATGGAAGTAAAGGAAGGCACTCCTTACTATTTTTGCTCCCTGAATTTTCAGGGCAAGTAATAAGTCCCATAAGATACAGAGATTCTTCGCTACCTGGGCAAACAGCAAGGAGATTAACTTTATCTACGCATCTCCTAATGTATGGTCAACCATTAACTCAGACATTCTATATGAATAAGCGAACAATCCTACTGCGGAGATACAGGGTGAAGGCATTTTGGCTACAGAACAAAGCAGCACTAAGGATCATTATTAACTCCAAAATATTTAGGTCAATTAAGTTTTGCAATTGATTTCAATGGGCATTTGAACTGCCTGTAATGCCGTGTGTGGGCTCAGCTCTATACAATCATGAAGGAGTTAAGGCCTCTGCCCCAAAGAATTTACAATCATCATTAGATTCTGCAAACTGATTAAGGAGCAATGGAGACGTTAGCATTGAAAGTGAATAGCAAAAGTGACGAGTTGTAAGAAGGGACTTGGACCAAGGAGACTAGTAGGTGCTAGAATGAGGGAGAGGTGGTACCAGATATATGGAAAAACACAAACGTGGGGAAAAGCATTGAATGTTGAGAAGGAGGAGAGAAAAGAAACTTTCAGGACTGAGGAATGAGTGGATGGCAACATGAGAAAGAAGGTGCAAGAGAAAATGAGATGAGGGAAGAAAATGAAAAGAAAAAGGTTCAATTTAACCTGGATGGACAGAGGCAACTAGAGAAGGGGTGCAAGGGGGAAAAGACACATTCAGAACAGGAGAGGAAAAACACGTTCATTTGTAGCATTTGGATATTGCTGGTAAGGCCAGAGAGAAAAAGTGACAGAACTGATCAGTATAGGTATCAACATGTAACAGTTTGGACAAGGAGGAAAGATGGTGGAGACACTGCAAAGGAAGAACAAAAATTGACAAGACCCTAAATGGGAAGAAAAGGATACAGAGGAGCCAAAGAGGTGAGCTTGGGTTTCAGGCAGAACAATCCATCACACATTCTTATTTCACACAAGAGGCTTTAGAAAACCTGAAGTGTGGGAGCAGCATCTATTATGTCCTGAAAGGATACAGTACAATCTCATAGACAGAGCATTAGAAGGACCCTGGGATGATTCTGACGAGGTTAGGCAGGTCACATTGACACCAAGTAAAAATAGCAGCTAGAACAGGAGATGCTGCCTCGAGATGGTTAAGGGCCTCGGAAGCAATTAGCCAAACAGTTCTCTCTCCCATGGATGGCCTCGGGAGGCTTCTATATTTATTAACCTCAGACACTAGTGCTAACTGCAAAGGAAGCAAATACTTGCGCTCCACCTGCAACTCCCCACAAACCTGCTCCGTCCTACTGCAAGTAGGTTCCTTTCCAACCACTCTGAAACCCCAGTTTGCACAGTATGGACGTTTCAAACTCACCCACTCCCTAGAGATTGCCTTGCTTAACAAATAAAACATTAAGATAATATATTGCTGCTAGGACTCCTTCTTCAGGATTACTCCGCCCAGCCCATACCTCTTCTTTCCTAAGATAACCACTCCTACCTCCCACGTATGTAGGTACAGCGATGAGCCAGCTGACCCACTCGTCAGCAGACCCTACTTAACCCTTTTCCAGCAGAGCCAGATATTTCAGTCAAACTTGGTCAACCAGACCTTAAGGAACTTTGGTTGGGTGTCACTGTTTGGTTTAATGAGTTTCACCCACTACTTATAAAACACACATCCAGTGTTCATGAGACCCTAAAAGGACCACGGTCGTACAGCATTACTGGAGCTTTCTTCAATACCTGATGTCTCTTTCCAGACGTGAAGGAGACAGGAGGATTTCAGCACACACACCACTGCAAACAGATAGAAACAAAAACAAGAGCAGCATATATATAAGCGTGGGAGTGATAGGGAAATCTCTGGTTGTAGAAGTTCAGAAGTTAATGGATACAAGAATACCTCCTAAAGCTTAGTCATTTGTTAGGAACAAATTCTTATTTCAGGATTTCTTAGAGGAAAATGTATGTGACAGTTTTGATTCATCTTTTAAGATCACCGAAGTTTAAAGACTGCATTTGTAAGTATATCTGATGGCTTCTGTGATCATATTAAAACTTGATCTTTTGTTGAGGACCATGATATGGATACAGTAATTCAACCTTTCTTGGGCTCTGTAGTCACAATATCTCTATACTTTGAATTAAACCCTATTTCCCTCAGATACTTCAGACCATTTTTGTGTCCAGATTTGAATATACATAAAGGGAACTGATAGGTGCTTCAAGCAACATCCAGCCAAGTCTTTGCAGCTATGCGTTATCTAAAGGGATACTGACAGTTACTGTAGGCTCTGGACATTTTTATACACCTTGAAATTTGAAACACCAGAACCGTACCCCACAAACATCAAGTACTTCAGCCTTCTCAACATCATCCAGCATTTGGTGTCCGTGCTCATTTTGTAGGGGAACTAGACATCCCTTTGTTGTCCTCTTCCTTTGAATATGTTCCTAGAATCTTTTCTCCTTGCTTTTTATGCCCCTTGTTATTTTGAAAATTATTTTGCACCTTAACCTTTCCAACTTTACCCTTACATTCTTCTGCTATCCATTGATATTCACGTGTTCTAGTTTCCACATTTTGTAGGACTTCTTTTTGATATTCAGGTCAATGAAGAGCTCCTGAATCAGCCATAATGATCTCTTCCTAGGCTACCTGTCTTTCCTCCACATCAAGATAGCTTGCCTCTTTTGAGAACTGCTAGGTCTCTTACTCTGTTTTACCCCTCACATTATCTTCTCAAAGAGATCCTACAGTCAGGCTCCTGGAGAAAGGGAGGAAGGATGTTTGGGGCTGCATTTGGAAGAGTGATTCTTCAGATGTTAACTGCTTGAAAGATGCATTTCCAAGTCCCCTTGGCTAAGTACAGAGGTTCAAAAAGCCCAAGGGGAAAGCGCTCTAAGTTTTGTGTTTTACTCTAAAGTGATCTAGGTTAGGTCAGGAAGGAACAAAACAGAAATTCACCCCTCTGTGGGTGAGGGGGGGGGAACAGGGTGCCTGCTCTGGCCAAGGCCAGCATATTGGGTGCACTGGAGCACACCTCCCAGCAGCTGGGCCTCCCCTGATTGGCCAGTCTGGGCCCCCCCCCCCTTAGCCCTGCCCACTGCCACCCCCGCCAGCGGCCACCTGTCAGTGGCAGCTGGGTGGGGGGTAAGATGGGGAGAGAGAGGGGCAGGGCTACATGACAGAGGCATCTGCTCCCCCACTAGTGCACCATGCCCGGTGAAAAACCCCCACAACCTAGGGATCGTGGCTGCTGTGATCCCTAGGGCTCGGGGTGTGAAATCTCCAGACTGCAGCAATGCACAGGGCTTGGAGGGAGTGAAACCCCTGGGGACTATGGCTGTTGTGATCCCCAGGGCTCAGGGGTACAGGAAACTCCTAGGCCCTGGAGATCATGGCTACAGCAATCCCTAGGGGTTTTGGGTGTGGGAAACACCTAGGGCCAGAGGATCACCACAGGGGTGATCCCACCACCCCAGAAATGTGGGGCTGACAGAAGCTGCGTAGGCTAGGTGGGTCAGGCAGCAAGAAAGGGGGGAAGCTCCCATGGTGCAGGGCCCTCCTCCCCCCAGCTGGACAGATGCCAGCTCAGGGGGGCCGGGA